CTTGCCCTTCATGTATCTCAGAGAGGCTTCACCTGACACACCATTTTTCTCTATTATCTTACTCTATTGTAATTCTCTTTCCAACATTTATTGTTAATTGATATTTATCTCTGTCTTCTTCCTCCTCTTCCTCCTCCTCCTGATTTCTTCCTTCCTTCCTTCTTTTCTTTTCTTTCTCTTTCTTTCGTTTCTTTCTCTCTCTTTCTTTCTTTCCTTCCTACCTTCCTTCCTTCTTTCTTTCTTCCTTCCTCCCTCCCTCCTTCCCTGCCTCCCTCCCTCCCTTCCTTGCTTCCTTCCTTCTTCCTTTCCTCTCCCCTATTAGAATGCAAACCTCTTGACATCATGAACATTTTCGATGTCGTTCACCACCAGAACCACCAAGTATAGGTTCATAAATTACTTATTGCATAAATGAGGCCTATTTTGACAGTCTGGAGAAGTAGAAAGGGTAAAGAAATCAGAAACTCCACATAGCTTCAAGAGTGAAGGCAAATCATCTAGCATGTAAAACGTATATTTTCATACCTAGCATTTTTCTCTTAAATCTGGATACATCATAGTCTCTCACTTGACAAGACCAAGATGTCTGTTGGCAGAATATTGTATGCAGCTCTGGCACTCGTTCTTTCAGAAAGACTTAATGATATTTTAGATGTTCCCCAAAAGGGCAGGGGCCAGCAGAGGTTGCTGTACAATTCCAGACTAAAAACATAAGAATTGTTTTGCCCTGCAACATTAGGTTTAGAAAATACAGAAACAAAATCTGAAGGGATTTAAAGAGAGTAAACATTTTTTTTACTCAGCAAAACACAGACTCCTATTTTCAGGCCTTTTTTTCAAGGTTGAAAGAAGGCTTATTTAGGGCAAATAAAATATAATTGCCCTGTATTGTCATGTCATTTTATGTTTACAAAATTTTTATTTTTATTTTTAAATATCCACACAGCATCTGTATGGTGAGTAACATTATTCTTATTCTTTAAATTGAAGACATCAAAACTTCGAAAAGTGGTTCACCTAAATTCCTTGAGAGAAAGAACCATGTCTGATCCATCCTTTTAGTGTCATTAGTAATGTTTTTTCAAAAAACATAGAAAATCAGTAAATGTCTATAAAATTGAATTAGATAAAGTCTGAATAAAGTCAGGAACAGGAGTCCTAAAAATGCCTGTGCCATTGGTGTTCATTCTTTATCATTAAAGGTGAACATAGATCATTTATTTTATTGTTCCAAAGTCCAAAATTCCCTCAACCCTGACTAATAATAAGCAGAATGAACTCAAAAGTTTAAATTGCAACCAAAAGATGTTAACATCTGTAAATTGAGCCTGGTGAAAATTAGTTTCAAAAGCAAAGGTAATCATGAGATTCCTGTTTCCATTTCTTGATGAAATTATGGAACAGTATAAGATTCTTTTTCAAATCATTCCTTTAAAATCTAAGGAGGGGAGAGGGTCATAACAAACCAAAAAACTCTGCATTTCAGTTGGTCAAGACTGAGTTAAATTCACTTCACCTTGTCTTTCTCCCTAAGTGCAACTGCAAACCCTGGACAGCATGCCTACAGCATCTATCTGAGGAGTATAAAAAGTAGTTGGTAGCAGACAGATTGAGAAAGAAAACCAGAAATCAGAATAACACTAAACTGGTAATGATGTTCTTTTCCACCATTACCTGCCACTCCCGCAAGCCAAAAACTCGTACGTTTACACCAAATGTGGGCAAAAAAGAATACTAATTTGCTAGTGCTGCCATGATAAAATACCACATAGTATCCAAACAACATAATGGTAGGCTTAAACAACATAAACGTATTAATTATCTCATAGTTCTGGAAGCTAGAAGTTTAGAATCAAGATGTCAGCAAAGTTGATTACTTCTAGGACCATGATTGAGGGATTTGTTTCAGGCCACTCTTCCTAGCATACAGATGGCTCTCTTGTCCCTGCATCTTTTCACATCGTGTTCTCTGTACATGTGTCTGTGTCCAAGCTTCCCTTTTTATAAGGATATTAGTCATATTTGATTAGGAGGCCATCCTACTTCAGTATGACCTCATCTTAACTGGTTACAAATGCAATGATCCTGCATCTAAATGGAGTCACAGTCTGAGATACTAAGGGTTAGGACTCCAACATATAAATCTTAGGAGCATACAATTCAACCCATAACAAAGTAGAAGAAAACATCTCTTGTTGGTCCGTGCAGCAGGAAATGGATTAGAGATGATAGTATAAACTTTCTGGGGATTTTGTTTTCTTTTGTTTATTTTTTCTCCTACATGGTCCTCAGACAATCCGGTGTTAGTAGTGGTAAAAATGACAGCGGCGGTGGGGCAGACACCTAAAGCTCCAAGAGAGGAAATATACTACTGACCAGAAGAACAATGATATCAAGAGAATAGAAGAAATACCTTTTGCTGCTTTTTATCATTTTTTATCCCTTCATTGCTTGGTCCCTGATACAGACTCAGTTGCAGAAAGTCCATGGCAGAGCTGGGCACCTAAAACCCCAGTTTCCTAGACAGAAAACCGAGGCTGAAGCAGGAATGAAATGAGATATGGAGGCTGGGAGACAGAACGTGCCAGGATGATCACAATTAGGAAATAAAATGGTCCCATAAAGTTATATATAAACTTTTGGGCTTGCCTTCAAGTTGTGTATTCATGGCATTTGGCCCTAAATTGCATACAAAACGCTCTTAGAACTGAACTACAAGGTAAATCCCCATCTAGGTATTAGATTTGTCACTGGATGGTACGCAAAAGGGACTGACCTAAATAGCATTTCAAAGGCTTTGAAAATCAAACCTACATTGGACCCATATCCTAGAGAGAAGGCAGATAGGAACTTGTAGCTTGATACTGAGTCAACTGCTTGCTAAAACAAGCTAACAAAAAAAAAAAAACAAAAACAAATTCTGGGTGAGATTTGTAGGACTCAAACTCTTACAGCATAATATTCAAAATGTCCAAGATATAATCTAAAACTATTAAACATGAAAAAACAGGAAACATCAATATCTTTCAAGAACAAAGATAATTAACATATGCTGACCCCAAGATAATATAGGTGTTAGAATTATTAGATAAAGGTTTTAAAGCAGTTATTTTAAACATGCTCTGCGAAGTAAGTGTAAATACTCTTGAAATGAAAAAAAGAATATCTCTTCAGATAAATAGAAGTTGTAACAAAAAAGAAAAACAAATGAACATTTTAGAACTGAAAAATACATTAAGCAAAATAAAAACAGTCACGGGATAAGCCCAAGAGTAGACTGGAAATGATAAAGAAAAAAGCCAATGAACTTTATAAAATATTGATAGAAATTATCCAGCTTTAACAATAGAGGGAAATAAAGATTGAAGAAGAAATAAATAGAGCCTTAGGATGGATGAGTCAATACCAGAATGGCTAACAGTTGTGTCATCAGCATTCTAAAGGAAAGCAGAGAGAGTGGTGAAAAAAAAAAATTGAAAATATGATGGCTAATATTTTCCCATTTTGGCTGAAGGGTTAAATAATGATCATAACATCTCATCATTATTATTATCATTGAAAGCATTGATTGAGCACTCAGTCTGTGTCAGGATCTGTTCTAAATTCGTTACACACCCTCTAATCTTCAAGGAAAAACACATATAAATCTTTGCCCAAGGTCACAGAGGTATTAAGGGGTGGAGACAGAAAACAAATCCAGAAATTCTGTAGAGAACAAGCTCTTAAACTCTCAAGTTCTTAGACAATCTGGTACTTCTAGTATTAATCTTTCCTCTGCCCTTAGATTCATAATAACAGCTACTTTGTTCTACTATGATTTTTTTAAGTATGTATAGTTCTTGGTGGAGTAGCTAAAATATGGAGACTTAAATGTATTTGAGAAAGAAAATAATAAACAACTGCAATACTGGGTGATAGTGATCAGGGTGAACCTTAATTATCTAATAAGACTGTAAATTTCTCAGTGAAAGAGGCTCCACTGATGCAGCTCTGTTGCACGGCATCTAGCATGTTCTGACTCATTTAGTTGCATAATTTCAAAAATTTGAAGCTTGATGAAAGAGAAATAAAACTATACAATTTATATGAAAAATAGTGTCATGGTATGAAGATATGCCTCTGGCATTAGTTTCTTAATATTAAAAGGGTCATTTAACTTCCTGGAGCCTCAGTATCTTTTATTAAAGAAGAGTTCTAATCCCAACTAAGGTATATGATGAAGATTAATGAGTTAGTGTGTGTGAAAATGCTTTGCAGAACATTACACAAAGCCATTTTATTGGCTTTAACTCATTGCAAGGCAGACAGAAATAAGTGAAATGCACTTGATAAAGAGTGTGGCAGCCTAGAAGATGGAGAGACTAATTCCAGGTGGGAGCATTGAAAAGGTTTTGTAGATAAAGACTACACAAGCTGGGGAGGAGTTCTTTAATACAATACAGGTCAAAGCCAGAGTTGGAGAACTGGTAAACCCCCACCTCCCAAACTGACTTCTGACCTCGTCTCCCTGGGGCTTAGTAGAGATATAATCTCAGGAATATGTTCAAAATCATCACAACTATTTAGACCATTGTGTAATCCAAAAGGAGACATAATGGCAAATGGATGAAAAGCAGGAGGCAAAAGAGAGTGGTTTTAAGATGAGCAAGGTTTTTATAAAACATATCTTTATATTTTATTTTTATTAATTTTGGGGGCTTGTCTTTTCTGAGTTAAGCCAAATTAGTGATTTTCTAGTCCAACTATTGGGAAAACCCACATTTGTGTCTACTAATCTATACTTTAGTACAAATTTAATGGCAGTGTTTTTCAAACTTCAGAGTGAATGAGGATACTTTGAGGAGCTTATTTTAAAAATAAATATAAAAAACAAATTCTCAGACTGCATTCCCAGTGCTACTGATGCAGTCTGTCTGGATGGAGTTGGACCAGGGTTCTTTAAGACTGAGCCAGCTGCTCCAGATGTAGATAGTTCATTTTTCTCACCCTGGGCAAGACCAATGTATGCCAAAGCTGAGAACATACTTATTGGCATTCGAAGCAACTTCAAGGCTGCTTGGACTCCTTTTCTTTTTGAACACCAGCTTGAGGATATGGACAGAGAAGGAGATTTGAAATCCATATTGGACTTTTCCAGATTGCTTTATTTTATTCTCTGCATCCTCTCCTGCTCAAAAGCAAAGAAACAAGAAAAGGAAAGGAAAAAAAAAAAAAAGCCCACAGCCTACCGGGCGCCCCCGCCCCCTGCGCCGCAGGCCAGGACCCCGGTGGCCAGACCCCGAGGGCCTCCTGACCCCGCGATGGCAGCTGAGTCCGCGCTACGCAGCTAAGCAGTTCGCGCCTTACGGCGCTGCCTCCGGGGTGGACCCGGGTTCGCTATGGCCGTCGACCGAGCAGCTGCAGGAGCTGGAGGCCAATGAGCGCGAATGGTACCCAAGTTTGACGACCATGCAGGAGTCGCTGCCGGTGAAGCAGCTGGCCGAAGAGCAGAAGCTGTCAGGAGAGGGAGCAGCACACTGCAGAGTGCATGGCCAAGATGCCAAGGATGATTGAGAAACGGCGGCAGCAGAAGCGGGAGCGCAGGGAGAAGGCAGAGGCTGACAAGGAGAGGAGGACCCGACTGCAGGCTGAGGCCCAGGAGCGCCTGGGCTACCAGGTGGACCCAAGGAGCGCCCGCTTCCAGGAGCTGCTCCAGGACCTAGAGAAGAAGGAGCGCAAGCGTCTCAAGGAGGAAAAACAAAGACAGAAGAAGGAGGCGCGAGCTGCTGCAATGGCTGAGACGGCAGCCCAGGACCCAGCCACCTCTGGGGCACCCAGCTCCTGAGCCTTTGTCCTTTCCCAATAAAAGCCTGCTCCCTGGCAGTCCCCCTGAAAAAAAAAAAAAAAAAAAAAAAAAAAAAAAACCTTTTACTTCAAACTTACTTTCTTGGTAGGACCTGGTCACTGTACCACCCAGTCCAGGAAACAATGCAACCACATTCTTTTCAAAGTAATGGAGGACATAGTTTTGTTTTAATCCTGAGACAAATGCAGTATGTAATACTCTCTTTATTGACCATAAAAAGGGAGGAAGAAACAACACCAAACAAATAAAACAAAAATTACCTCCTTTTCAAATTTTGTTGGTGAAAAATGTTTCAAAGCACCCATATACTCAGGGAAATACTAATTACCTTCTGCCTTCTTGGGGTAAGCACAGGGAAACTTGGATTGTAATAGTCTCATCAGAGTTGTATAAACTGCAACAAATGCAGTAAAATTTCCCTAAACATCTGGCCCTGTCTACTCTTTAAAAGGTTTGTAAAAATCCGATAAAGTTGAGATTGGATTGTTTGATATTATCAGGTCTTAGAGTGGTGACTGTGGTTCCATTATGAAATCACATCTGAATTTCTGGAAGTCACCTGTGAAAATCACTCCCAAAGAAGATTATGCCCGGAAATGTAAGATATGTTGAACTGAATCATTTATCTCAGGGAATAGCTTGTTCCTCAATCCTTAAAATCTCCTTAGATCCAGAAAGTGAATAAGGAAAACACCAATACTTAAGAACACTTACTATGGAGCCAAGAATGTGTTGGGAACTTTACAAATATTACACAGTTTGATTTAATTTACCCTATGAACAATCTCTATTCAATAATCTCTATTTTAAAAATGACGGAGCTGAGACTCAGAGAGGTTAAATAACTTGCTTAATGTCAAAGAGGTACCAAACAGTAAGGTAATAACTCAAGATTATCTGATTTATACTCAAGTGGCAACATTTAACTCAATCATCATCGTGCTAAGAAGCCTTTTATAACCCATCGTCTTCAGTGACAGTCCTTTTTTCTCATTTTAGTTTGCACCAAGCTGGCAAAGGCCACAGTGTGAATGATTTGTTCACACTAGTAGATTATGAGTTAGAAAGCAAAACCACATCTAATAATATGACGTTGCCATCAGACATCACAAAATATATGTTCCGACTCCGACATTGACTACCTGTACTTACTGTAAGTTTTGTTTTTTCTTTTACATTTTTGAGCTGCAGTTCTCTCTTCTGTAAAATGGGAATAAAAATCCTGCCTTCAAAGTCACTATGTAGTTTCAATGAGAATACCTGTAATGGATCCAGAGCATACTTGCTGCATAGCACACACTCCGCAAATAGTTCCCTACCCACTTTCCCCGCTGGCACAGTGCAGGGTATATTGTGAGTATTCGGTAGGAGTTGGTGACTGACTGATACACAGATGATGTGGGACTCAGTAAACAGCACTCCTCTTTCCCACCCAAGTTCTAAACCAAAGTGAAATATAAGCCTAAGAAACAAGAATCATGGAGACCAAAAAATGACCTTGATTATTGACAAGAAGCTGATATCAGACAACATATCTTTCTTGCCCAGCTTATATCTCTGGGCAAGTGGACTGTCAAGATTAGACAGATTTACCCACCTTTTCAGGGATGAAAGTGGAAAACCACAAGCTTCTCTGTGTTAAAGTTACAGCACGATCCCTCCCAGAAAGCAAGAGGAAGAGTCTGGGCCATTTGTGTCCAGTTCCTCTCACAAACTCACCTACTAAAGTAAAGTTTCCCTCCTTCGCCAGTGGATGAACAAGGGGTAGGCAGTCATCTAAAAATGTTTAGGAAGATGCTTCCACATGGGGAGCAAGAGTGAAGAGTGGCTGCATTCCCAGCCCAATAGCTTGGATGATGGCATAAAACCCATTCCCTGCCAAACCCCATGCCACCACACAATAACTCAGGCCTCTCAGTACTTCTGTTCTATCCCAGCCTCCTCCTGGACTCCCACATGGGGGCAATTAAGGAGCTAACAAGAGAATGAAAACTATCCTTGGTCTTATTCTGACCTTGCAATTCAGTCACTGGGCCTCACCTTCTGTTCTCTTAACCAAGTGTTCACTGTATGGCTGCCTCTGAGTAACTGGGTCCCTGGTGTATTTCCCGTGCCTGAGATGATCTTTTACTTTTCTTTTTAGAGCTCCAGTGTCCCCAGGATGGGACGGTCATGCTCTCTGATGTGGAGCCCTCTGAATACTAATGTAGCTCCAATCACAAAACTGGAAGGCACAATTACCAGTTTATCTGGTAACTGGAATCAGGGCCCAAAGAGTGCAGGGGTTGACAGGATCAGGAAGCTGGACAGTGATGAAACTCAGGCTTTCTGATGTTCAGCTCAACATTATTTTGAGTCAAGCAGAGAAAAGTAAATGAAAGAAGGAAAGGCATAATTTCTACCATTGGTAAGCCTGATAATAGAATTCCATAAAATCTTGAGTGGTGGCAGAAGACATGAATAACTGACCAAACCAAACAGGTCAGCCTTCTTAATAGGGAGATTGTAGAGATTAGTGCCACCATCAGGGACTTGAGAGATGGAGGGGTAGTGATTCCCACCACATCCCCATTCAACTCTCCTATTTGGCCTGTGCAAAAGACAGATGTATCTCGGAGAATGACAGTGGATTATCGTAAAACCAAATGGTTACTCCAATTGCAGCTGCTGTACCAGATGTGGTTTCATTGGTTGAGCAAATTAACACATCACCTGCTGCCAATGATTTGGCAAATGTCTTTTTCCCCATTCCTGTCCTTGAGAAGCACCAGAAGCAATCTGCCTTCAGCTGGCAAGGCCAGAAATATACCTTTACTTTCCCAACTTAAGGGTTTATCAGCTCTCCAGTTTTGTGTCATAATCTTGTTCAAGGAGACCATGATCGCTTTTCTCTTCCACAAGCTATCACACTGGTCCATGACATTGATGACATTATGCTGATTGGATCCAGTGAGTAAGAAGTAGCAAACACACTGGACTTTATTATTGGTGAAACATTTACATGCCAGAGGATGGGAAATAAATCCAACTAACATTCAGGGACTTTCTACCTCAGTAAAACTTCTAGGGGTCCAGTGACGTGGGGCCTCTTGACATATTCTTTCTAACGTGAAGGATTAGTTGCAGCATTTGGCCCCCTCCTATGCCCAAGAAAGAGGCACAATGCCTAGTGGGCCAATTTGGATTTTGGAGGCAACACATTCCTCATTTGAATGTGTTACTAGGGCCCATTTATCAAATGACCCAAAAAGCTGACAGTTTTGAGTGGGGTCCAGGCAGGAGAAGTCTCTGCAACAGGTCCAGGCTGCTGTGCAAGCTGCTCTGCCACTTGGGCCATATGACCGAGCAGACCCAACGGAGCTTGAGGTGTCAGTGGCTGAGAGGGATGCTGTTTGGAGCCTCTGGCAGGCCCCCATAGGTGGATCACAGAGAAATTTAATGTATTCGTTTGTTTTCACACTGCTGATAAAGACATCCCCAAGACTGGGCAAGTCACAAAAGAAAGAGGTTTAATGGACTTGCAGCTCCATGTGGCTGGGAAGCCTCTCAATCATGGTGGAAGGCAGGGAGGAGCAAGACATGTCTTGCATGGATGGCAGCAAGAAAAGAGCTTGTGCAGTGTAACTCCCATTTTTAAAACCATCAGCTCTCATGAGACTCATTCACTATTATGAGAACAGCACAGGAAAGACCCATCCCTATAACTCAGTCACCTCCTACTCGTTCTTCTCATGACACATGGGAATTGTGGGAGTCACAGTTCAAGATGAAATTTGGGTGAGGTCACAGCTAAACCACATCAGCTAGTGTGTGCTGTAAGAGTGGTAGAAGACTAGGTCTGCATGACTTTGGATTATGTATGTCCTTGTTGTTGAGTATTTATATTCATTAACAAGCATGTCAGAACCACTTATACAATAAAAGTCTTCCTTTCATGAAGCTCTGTTCACATTGATACTTTTCAAAAGAAGACATATATGAAGCCAACAAACATATAAATAAATGCTCATCATCACTGGTCATTAGAGAAATGCAAACCAAAACCACCATCTCACGCCAGGTAGAATGGTGATCATTAAAAAATCTGGAGACAACAGATGCTGGAGAGGATGTGAAGAAATAGGAACACTTTTACACTGTTGGTGGGAGTATAAATTAGTCAACAATTGTGGAAAACAGTGTGGCAACTCCTCTAGGATCGAGAAATAGAAATTCCATTTGACCCAGCAATCCCATTGCTGGGTATATACCCAAATAATAATAAATCATTCTATTATAAAGACACATGCACATGCATGTTCATAGCAGCACTGTTTACAAAGCAAAGACATGGAACCAACCCAAATGCCCATCAATGATAGACTAGACAAGGAAAATGTGGCACATATACACCATAGAATACTATGCAGCCATAAAAAATGATGAGTTCATGTCTCTTGTAAGGACATGGATGAATCTGGAAACCATCATTCTCAGTAAACTGACACAAGAACAGAAAATCAAACACCACATGTTCTCACTCATAGGCAGGTGTTGAACAATGATAACACATGGACTCAGGGAGAGGAGCATCACACACTGGGGACAGTTGGCGAGGGGGGACCTAAGTGAGGGACAGCAGGGGTGGTGAGGGATAACATGGGAAGAAATGCTGGATATAGTCAAAGTGGGAATAGAGGCAGCAAACCACCTGGTTATGTAGTGCACCTTATGCAACAACCCTGCATGACCTGCACATGTACCCCAGAATCTAAAATAAAATAAAAATTAAAAAAATTTTTTTTTAAATCCTGAATAGGAGTTAAGAGATCCTGGAGCATTTCAGGCTTTGTATTTATAGAGTCTTGGGAAGATCATTTTTCCTCTCCAGACCTCATCTTTTTCTTCTTTCAAAGAAGCAGTTATACAAAAATATCTCCAAGTTCCACTTAAATTCTAGAATTTCATATCTTTGTCATCCAGGTGAGAAAGAGAAAGAAGAAAGCTGGGAGAGACTAAAAATTAAGGGGATCAACCCTAAGTGTTTTG